TTTTAACAGCCTCTGCACGCATCCTTCCCCAGCAGCAACAGGCTGCCGACCGTCAGGCACAAAAACTTGCTCATCTCGCTGCGCTGCTGCTTTTGCACCCGATTTGGGATTTTATTTGCTGGTTGGTGCTTTATTGGTGGTTTTTTTTCAAGGCATCCTTACTTTTTCAGTGTGAAATGGTTTGCCCATTCAAAATACCCAGCTGCGTTTGGGATAACCAATTTTGGGGATCCCCTCTCTGCCTGCCGAGCCAGGGTTCCTCCGTCATCAGGAGAGCACAGAGGCAGCAGGATCGGGCCCAGTTTCCTTCGGGAAACACCGCCTGATAAATACTCATCTGTTTCCAAGGATTTTGCCTCTTTCCCCCAAAATTGGTGGAAATAAATATGGAGAAAACAAAATACAGGCTGTCTCTTAAAAAAAATATTGCTGTATGGAGATGAAGACATGTACATGAGTGTGTGTGCCGAGGAGAAAAATAATTAATCCTGGCTTAATAAGGTCTTAGATTCAGTGCCACTATCCACTGCCTTAAGTTTTACTGCTTTACAAAAATTCATGAGCATTTATAACGTATTATATACTACACCATAGCTGTTTTATGCAACATATGGATTTGTATTTGGTAATAAAGTGCAATTTTCAGTTAAGGAATTGTATTATTAATGAGGGTGATACAATGCCCATGACGGTGATATTTTTATTATTATTGTTGCTTTATTTACAATTTAAAATATACTGTTTGGGGATTTAGAGGGTAATAGTCAGTTGTGTGTTTGAGCTTGATCTTGCTCAAAGATTAGAAACCCCAATTCTGTGGGTTTCATCCCAAATCCCAGACTGACTGGTGACAATTAAATTAGGCAGGAAAGCAGAAGGTGGTTTGAAACCCACGGCGGGGGGGAACAAAGCCCTGGGCCAACCTTCCCCACCGGCAGAGCCAAGGTGAGAAATGCAACTGCTTGCAAAATGGGAGGTGTAGGGTCCTATGCAAAATGCAGACATGTCCTAAAGTCCCATCGCTCTGTCCTTTGGTCTCGTACCTCCATCCTAGGGTCTCATCCCTCCATCCTACAGTCCCGTCCCTCCATCCTACCGTCTCGTCCCTCCATCCTACAGTCTCAACTCTCCATCCTGCAGTCTTTTCCTTCTGTCCTACAGTCTCAACCCTCCGTCCTACAGTCCCGTCCCTCTGTCCTACGGTCCCGTCCCTCCGTCCTATGGTCTCATCCCTCCAAGGGCAGGGACAGGGGAGATGCTGGGCTCCCCTCATCGTCTGCCACCCCATGGGGAGCAGTCACCTTGTCCTTAGGTACGTGGGGAAGGTCAGGGGCTGCTTGTAGGGCAGAGGTTTGTAACAAATGCCGATGAGTCACTGGAAATGCCAGCCCCGGGGATGCTACAGGGCAAATCTCTTAGCATCCCTATGGGAAAGCTTAAGATCTGGTTCACAATCTCTCCCCCACCAGCAGTGGAGAAGACATTTTTCAACCCAGCGTCTGCTCCAGGCTTTGATCTTCCCAGATGCTGCTGCTGTGTTCAAACAGTGCCTGTTTGGGGATCCCTGACTTCGACTTAGTCATAACGAAATGCAAAGCACCCATCACAAATGCTCACAGTCCCTCACCCTGATTTACTCCCAGCCACATCAACCTCCTTGATACCACAGCAAAAGAAAAAGCCCACTGCTTTTTTGCGAAAAGAAAAATTACAGGGGATGGCAAACCAGGATCTGTCCCTCCATCCCCAGCCTGGAAACATCCAGGAGGCAGCAAGGGGCAGGGGGGGGGGGGGTGCCGGGGTCCCGTGCCACCCTCCATCCCTGCTCCTCTCTGCCTGGGGAAAGGGGAAGGGGCAAGCTGCCTGTCCTGCTAATTTTGGGACAGATTTCAAGCGATTTTCACCACTGGCAGGGAAGTCTCCTGCAAGGGAACTTTGCAGCGGGCCCGTTTCATGCCTCATTAAGTCGGGAATTCACTGTAACCCCATCCCAGGCGATGCCTGGAGCAAGTTCACGGCCTCGACCGCAGAGTCTGATCCTGCCCTTCAGGGTAATGAAACCATTCACCAAACTTACCCTGAAAAGCCCAAAATTGGCATTTTGAACTCACACCAGGGAAAATTTTTCAAATAGGCCCATGTGATTTATGCACCCATCCTTCCCAGCACTTTATACCACAGAGCTGCATTGGCACATTTTAACCCAGGCCAAAATTCCTCTTATCAAGGAAAAACAAGAAGATCTTTCTTTCTTTTAGCAACATTTTCTTTAAATACATTTTCACTAAACCTCTTTCCCCTGTGCATTGCTTTACAGCAGGGAAAAAAAATGCCATGCCCGATGGCATAGACTGCGTATCTGTGTCTGCATATCCAGCTCCACCTGCATAGACTTGATCTTCATTACTAAAAAATAATAATAATTAATATTCTACTGATCCCAGGGATGCAATTAGCACTATCCAAAGGTGACAGTTCTCCAGGAAGCAAAATCACTGGAGGGAAATGAGGACGCTGGAAAAATCACTTGATTTAATATAGCCTTGCGTGAAGGATTTTGCTTCCACCCTGAGATTCCTCCTTGTGCAGAGAATAAAAATATCTTTAGTCCTAAGGAAAGGCAGAGGAAGGAGGCTGGGCTCCACCATGCCAGGGACTGCGCTGGTGCTGAGCCAGGCTGGGATGTGTTATTAAAGCGGATCTGCGATGGGTGCAATCCACAACAGTGTTTCCCTCCCACTAAATCTTTCAGTGCCTTCAGTTTTTCAGCCCATCGCGGCTTTTCACCCTTGCTCGTAAAAAAAACCCCCAACCTTCTCCCCACTCAGACACCACCCGCCAGCCTTTACATGCTTCATACAACCCCCTTGGTACCCACAGCCTGTGCAAAGCATCGCCCCGGCATCGAGAAGGGACCCGGCTGGGATCAGCCCGGCAGCGGCCGCATCCCGACTCGGGGAGACGAGGGAAAGGGGCAAGTCTGGACCTTAAACTGCTTCCCGGGGGGCCTGCCTTCCAAAAAATCCCCGCAACCATTTTAATCCTGAATTTAAAACTCACTAGCTTTCAAGTAGTTTTAGTTGGAGGCAATGTTTGGGGTTTGTTTTTTTTTTTTTTTACCATAAATCGAACAGTTTTTATTTAAAAACAAGTGCTGGTTCCACATTCAAGGCAGAGGCTTAATTAGATCCACGTTAATAAATCCCGCGGTTTCAGCGATGCGGGAGGCAACACCGTGAATCCAGCACCCGAATCAGGACCTGGGGATGGAAAGGGGTCCTGGCTCCTTCCTCCTTCGTTAACGACCGCTAATGTTTTCTGGACTGGCTCAACACATCCCCTCTTCCCAGTGCTATTTAAAAGCCCAAATAAAAAGCACTTTTTGCCACCAAAATGCAGGCTGTGAGACCTGCAACGCAAACCGCTGCTTCACGCAGGGCTTGAACCCCCCAAATCACTACGCTCAATCTCTGGCACCTTAAAAGCTGCCGGGTATTTTTGCAACTGCGATTCTTCATTTGCGTTATTTTGGTTTTAAGTTCTTTTTATTACTAAGAGCCCTTTTGAGACCACTGCAAAAAGGTGATTTTTTTTTTTTTCCCCCCAAGGAAGAGATGGTACGGTAGTCAAATATGAATACACATACATCCTTCTTGATAATATTCAATTGTTATTTGATTATTCGATTCATCCCGCTTTTTTCCTATACTTGCTACATTCTCATGGCTTCCCAAAAACATTGCCTGTTTGGCCAAAACTTTACCCTTAAAGTTGATCTGTTCCCCATTTTAAGCAGTTTCATAACACCCAAAGAAAAGCGAAAGGCATTGGCAAGATCAGGCCTTCACCACCGCCCAACTTTCCTTTCTTTAACATCTTAAAATAATGCTAAAGATAAAGCAAATCTTGCTAGGCATGATGGAAAAATTACCTTCCAAAATTCAGGTTAAAGAACGCAATCTGAAAACAAATCTGAGGACAAATTTGAGTAATTTTCTTTGTTAACCCCGACTCCGAAGCCGACAGAAATACCTCCATGGAGAGCAGGCGGGGAGGAAAAAAAGGGTTTGTGAAACCACGATGCAAAGATGTACCCTGCATTTCTCTCCCCCTTTCCCCCTCTTCCATGGTATAAAATAAAAAAAGTGATATTTTAAGCCGTTCAGGCTGATTTCTGGTTGTAGGACTCAGGGGCACTTAATGAAATGAAAGCTTCTGAGACCGTGATCGGCACAAGAGATCAGGGCTGTGATTTTTTGGGGCAGTGAGACCCTGAAATACAGGGCTGAGTCATTCAGATGTGCCTGCGAGCCCCCCAAAAAGTGTGATAATAAATGCAGATGCGTTTCTTTTTTTCCTTCTCCATCATCTCTCCCCCGTTGGTGCCAAATTTCCCTTTGCTTTCCCTTTTTCTAGCCTAGCCGACCTTTCCAAAAATTAAAAAACAAAAAACCATAGCACAAAACAGTCCAAAGGGAAGAACTGGGATTCCCCAAATCAAATTCTTGATTTCCCCATTTTCCAAATAAACTTTCCCCATTTTACACCTAAAGCAAGCCGGGGAAGGGGCTGCCTGCACGCATCGTGGTCCTGCACACCGCTGTCATCCCCATCGCAGCCCCTAAATCCCCTCGGAGCTATTTGTGGAGCCAGCAGGCCCACGCAACGGGAGCTCGGCACATCATTTCTTACCCCTCCAGGCCTACTCTAAATTATATTTATTTTTTTAGAAATTGTGGTGCTTGAGGATCTTTTGAAACGGCGGTTTTGCAGAGAAAGTGTCTGTGCAGGGGGGGCAAACGCAACGGCTCCGCGGGCCCCCCCACTTTTTGCAGCCACAGAGGCGGCTCCGGCAGCGACATCCTGAAGATGCCGAATTTCTCCCTCCTGCCCTTCACGTCTCCTCGCCCTACCCAAAAAGAGGTCCATGCACAAAAATTTGGCAGGGGGGTGGCAAGGTAAAACCCTCCCTCTCCTCTCCCAACCCTGGTTGTACTTACCTATGTTGGCATGCCGGGCGGCTGCGGGCGTCCCTCGGCTTTGCAGGTTGTGGAGCATGGGGCTGTCGAAGGGCGAAGAAGTCCAAGTCGTGGCCATTTCGGGGCTCATATAAGCCGGGTAGGGGCTGGAATAGGAGCTGCCGAAACC